GCACCCATCCAAAGCCTGTAGGTTCTCGTCTGCCATGGCGGCGCGTTCCTATAGAGCGGCGGGACGGGCGGCCTCCGCTTTGCATGCGATGAGCACTGTGCAAGCGCAGATGCTCAGAGATATGCTCGAGGGCGGGACTGATCCAACGGCATTTGAAGATTTGCGGTCCGCCACTGACCTTGCTCTTCAAAAGGGCAACGGAAGTGGCCGCTCGCGCCGTTGGTCAGGTGATGGCCACTAGTGTGGTCCAGGAGCGCCAACCTGGCAGACACTCGGAGCGCTGAGCGGATTCGTCTGCTCGACGCCCTTCTCTCCCAGGTTGGCCTTTTTTGGCGGTGCAGTCGAGAACTCTTGCCCAGCAGTCTCCACTGCCCAGGAGCAGACGGAGGCAATCAAACATGTTCTGCCCCGACGACCAGCTGCTGCCTCCACCCAGTCGTCGGCACAGATGCCTCCCGCTGCTCGCCGCCGAGGACGCCCCCCCGCGGCTCCCCTCCCTCCCGCCCCGCCCCAGCAGCAGCCTTCATCCGGGCCACGGCGTGGAGGAGGCCGCCGGCAGGCGTCACAGCCCCCTCAGGCCGCACACCCCGCTAAACGCCAGGTAAGCGATGATCCTGATACGGGCTGCTCAGTGATGGAGTTCAGTTTTTCCCCAGGAGGCGGGAGCAGGCCCCCTCCTGCCCCCGGTGGAGGGCCGGGGGGAAATCTTTCGTTTTCAGCTCCCGCTGCTCGCCCACGGGTGGGCAGCGCCCTGAGTTGGTTAAGGAAGACTTGACATCATCACTGAGCCCACAGACGGGAATGAGTGCGCTCGACGTTCCAGTGCGTCAGCCCACACATTCCTCTCTGTCTCTGAGGGCGCGGAAGGGTGCGAGTGTCGTCCACGGGCTACGCCAATCCCTTCCCCCTCTATCGTCAGACCCCCGGCAGAACAGACCCCCGTGGAACGCTCCGCCTTCCCTGGTCTCTTCTGTCGGGGAGCGGGCTTCGACGCATCCGAGCGGGGTAGCCCCTGCACGCGTGCCAGTCGACCCGCCCCGCTGCCCCTCCGGGGGGACGTCTGTGTTCGAATGACCCCGTTGGTTCACTTCCTGGAAGCCTGGCTAGAGCTTCCAGGGGGATCCTGCTGGGTCATCAGAACGATCAGATTCGGCTATGCGATTCAGTTCGCACGGTCTCCTCCCCGCTTCAGGGGAGTTCGCTCCACGATGATCGGTGGCTATGCCCCGGGTTTTGAGAGCGGAGGTTGCGACCCTGCTGGCGAAGGGTGCAATCGAGACGGTCCCTCCAGCCGAGGTGAGGTCCGGGTTTACAGCCCCTACTTCATTGTCCCCAAGGAAACCGGTGGGTTACGACCGATCCTGGGCCTGCGCATTTTGAACCGTTCTCTACATCGACTACCGTTCAAAATGCTCACAGCCAAACGCATTCGCGTATGTGTTCGGTTTCAGGATTGGTCTGCAGCGTTTGACCTGAAGGACGCGTACTTTCATGCCTCCATTTTGCCTCAACGCAGACCGCTTCTTCGGTTTGCTTTCAAAGGCCAGGCATATCAGTACACGGTTCTCCCATTCGGGTTAGCTCTGTCCCCTCGCGTCTTCACGAAGACCGTCGAGGCAGCCCTTGTTCCCCTTCGCGAACACGGGGTTCGCATCCTGAATTTTTCTCGACGACTGGCTGATACTAGCACACTCTCGAGCTCAGGTTTGCGAACACAGAGACCTGGTGCTACGGCACCTAGCCCGTCTGGGCCTTCGGGTCAACCGGGAAAAGAGCAAACTTTGCCCCGTGCAGAGGATCTCTTTTCTCGGCATGGAGATAGACTCAGTCGCCATGTCCGCGCAGCTCACGAACGAGTGCGCACACTCACTGCTGGCTTGCCTTCGACAGTTCGAGGGCAAGAGTGCGGTTCCACTGAAACTATTTCAGAGGCTCCTGGGGCATATGGCATCCGCGGCCGCGGCAACGCCGCTCGGTTTGCTTCATATGAGACCGCTTCAGCTGTGGCTTCGCGATCGAGTCCCGAGGTGGGCATGGCATCGCGGTTCGCTCCGAGTTCCAGGACTCCAGCGTGCCGCCGAACCTTCTTCCCGTGGTCGAACCTCAGCTTTTTACGGACCGGCGTCCCTATTCAGCGAGTTTCCAGGCATCTCGTTGTCTCCACGGATGCATCTACCACGGGTTGGGGTGCCATGTGCAATGGGCATGCAGCCGCCGGCTCCTGGACAGGAGCCCAGCGCCTCATGCACATCGATTGCCTCGAGCTGTTGGCAGTACGGCTCGCCCTGCGCCGCTTCCGAGCGTTGCTCAAGGGCCAGCATGTGCTTGTCCGCTCAGACAACACTACGGCAGTAGCGTACATCAACCACCAGGGGGGTCTACGCTCGCGCCAGTTGTCGCAGCTCGCCCGCCACCTCTTGATATGGAGTCAGAAGCACCTGAGGTCCCTTCGTGCAGTTTACATTCCTGGAGACCGGAACTGGGCAGCCGACGAGCTGTCCCGGGCCCATCCCATCTCCGGCGAGTGGCGACTCCATCCCCAGTCGGTCCAGCTGACTGGGACCAGTTCGGGGAGGCACAGGTAGACCTGTTCGCCTCTCGGGACTCGTCCCACTGCGCCCAGTTTTATTCTCTGACCCGCGGCACTCTCGGCTCGGATGCGCTGGCGCACAGCTGGCCGCGGGGCCCACACAAGTATGCGTTTCCCCCAGTGAGCCTCCTTGCACGGGTGTTGTGCAAGATCAGGGAGGACGAGGAGCAGGTCTTGCTGGTAGCCCCCTATTGGCCCACCAAGACGTGGTTCTCCGAACTCATGCTCCTCGCGACAGCACCTCCTTGGCCTATTCCTCTGAGACCAGACCTACTCTCTCAGAGACGGGGCACTCTGTGGCACCCTCGTCCCGATCTTGGAGGCTGCACGTGTGGCTCATGGACGGGACGAGGCAGGTTTGAGTTCGCTGCCACCTGCGGTGGCGGCAACCATCACTTCCGCAAGAGCGTCGTCCACGAGACACCTTTATGCGTTGAAGTGGAACCTCTTCGTCAATTGGTGTTCTTCTCGCGGAGAAGACCCCCGGAGATGTTCGATCAGTGTCGTGCTTTCCTTCCTGCAAGAAGGGTTGGAGTGCAGGCTGTCGCCCTCCATCCTTAAGGTTTACGTCGCGGCCATTGCCGCTTCTCATGAAGCAGTGGAAGGTAAGTCCTTAGGGAAGCACGACCTGGTCATCAGGTTCCTGAGGGGAGCGAGGAGGCTGCATCCGCCTCGTCCTCCCCTCGTACCCTCTTGGGACCTCTCGGTAGTTTTAAGTGCTCTGCAGAGGCATCCCTTTGAGCCTTTGCAATCGGTAGAGTTAAAGTTTCTGTCTATGAAGACAGCACTCCTGGTTGCATTGGCCTCCATCAAGAGGGTGGGGGACCTGCACGCATTCTCCGTTGACGAAGCGTGCCTGGAGTTCGGGCCGGCTTACTCTCACGTGATCCTGAGACCCCGGCCTGGATATGTGCCCAAGGTTCCCACCACTCCCTTCCGGGACCAGGTGGTGAACCTGCAAGCGCTGCCCCCGGAGGAGGCAGACCCAGCCTTGGCACTGCTCTGTCCGGTACGTGCTCTCCGCACCTATGTCGACAGAACGCAGTGTTTCAGGACCTCAGACCAGCTCTTTGTCTGTCATGGGGGGAGCCAGAAGGGAAGGGCTCTCTCAAAGCAACGGCTGTCCCACTGGATTGTGGATGCCATTGCTTTGTCTTACCAGCAGCAAGGCCTTCCGTGCCCCCTTGGTGTGACGGCCCATTCCACTCGGAGTGTGGCCTCCTCTTGGGCTTTAGCGCACGGCGCCTCGCTAACAGACATCTGCAGAGCTGCAGGCTGGGCGACACGCAACACCTTCGCCAGATTCTATAATCTGCGAATTGAGCCGGTATCCTCTCACGTTCTCGTTTCGGCCAGTTCTGGATCCGCTCAGGTGTCTTCGCTTGCTCGCCACTCCACTCCCCGGACTGGATAAGTGCGATATTTCCTCAGTTCTTCCTTTGAAGTCTTGAGTCCTCCAGCACCGACGATGCGGGCACTACTGCTGGGGCTCTGGATGCTGGCTAGGTGCCTCCATGCGTACGGTTCCCCCTTGGTAACCGTCTCATGTGTATTATCCACTGTAAGCCTCTCGGAGCATGTGTCTTCCCTTGGCAAGCCATCTGCCACCCCTGGAGCTGAAATTAGTAGCCACCTGCGGTTGGTGCTCCAGTGATTCCATATGTGTTCCTATGTGGCCATATGTGTTACGTAAGTCCTCCCTTCGGTAGGCAGCTGGTAGCATGTCCCCTTCGGGATATGTTTCCCAGTGTACCTTGGTAATCCTGTGTCAAAGTCGGATCCCCCAAAAAAAAAAAAAAAAAAAAAAAAAAGAGGTAAGGCTCAGGGGTTCAGACTTTCGCAGGGCACTGGAAGACAGCTTGAAGTTGGCGTGATGGCACAGACCCCCAATCTCCGTCACTTCTGACGTAACTCGAAGTGACTACGAAAGGGAACGTCTCGGTTACGTATGTAACCCTCGTTCCCTGAGTAGGGAACGGAGACGTTACGTCTCCCTGCCACTTCTGCTGTATCGCTGGGTAGATGCCGAGTTCAGTCTTGGCTCCTCAGCGAAGACATACTGCGGTTGCGTTCACTTCCTCCTTTTATACTCACGGAGTAGGGCGGAGTACGCTATGCAAATTTCCGCAGCCCCAAGGCATTGCATGCCATTGGCTCGTGTTTAAATACTCGAAGAGGATTGGCTTTCTATGCGAAATCCCCCAATCTCCGTCACTTCTGACGTAACGTCTCCGTTCCCTACTCAGGGAACGAGGGTTACATACGTAACCGAGACGTTTTGTGTTTTTTTAATGTTAGTTACTTTGGAAAAAGCGTCCAAAGTCCAAACATAACCATAAGTCTGATATTCTATCAGAAAACATTAATATTTTATTTTCATATAGGCTGCAATGGGAAGCAATGTCCCTCAAAAAAGAAAGAGGACTAAGAGAGGGAAAGCAGTCGCAAGCGCAGCGGCCACAAGTAACAGACGTAAGAAACGTCAAAAAAAAAAAAAAACGTTGTGCATTAGGTTGTTGTTTATAACACTGTTATAGTTTAATAATGATTATTATCTAAATGCTGGTGAGATGTATGCTGGAATTTTGTGAATTTTCTGGGCTGAAATAAATGATGCTTTACAGTAAGACCCTGATAGAATAGATAACCTATTGCATTGGCCTTTACAGCTTCTGAAGTTCAAGTGATCACAGTGTCTGAGGAAGTCCCTCAGATCGAAGAAGAGATGACTGCAAGTCTTGGTCAGTATGTCTGTCTAATCCCTATAACATTTCCTATCCCTCCATATCAACAACTTTTCTAATGACCCTGTAAACTTTTCCTCGATTCATTGTTGTTGATGTCTCACACTTCTTCTCCACGTAACTACATTAAAAGTGGTTTGTGTTTGTATTTGTATTTTGTTGTTGTAGAAAGAATGTGCATTATATTATACATTTTTACAATTCTGCACTCATTGCTTTTGCATAGCTCGCTTTTAGAAATTTTTTCCTATTTTGGGGAGTGATAGACACTCCTACTCTTCATTTCAAACTGGTCTATTATCGGAAGCATATTACACGTTTTGTGAAACCATTGTGATACAATGGTTCGTGATACCATGATCAAATCCATATACAGTACATTAAACCAACATTGAATGGACACTGTCGTGTATGGCTTGGTCAAAGTCAGATTTTAATAATTATTGTTGTACCATTTAGTCATTTTTATCTATTGTGCCTTCACTCAATCGAAGGGTTGTTTAACAGTTATTTATTTTCAGATACACGTCTTCAACAGCTGAGGGACACGCTTGACTCAGTTGAGGTTAATGTGGCAGCTGAAAAAACAGCATGGGCACAGCGGCAGCTACACGCTGATACAAGGGCAAAAGCAGCAAGGCCAGTTCTGCTTGATGCTAAACTGTCCGCTGAAAGAGATGTCAACCAAAAATGCGCTATATAGGTTTGACGTCTTCGACGCTTTTGCTCACATTAAAGTTTCGGCTCCTTCGATGTCAAGGCATGCCTTTTTAAAGCTACTGGCGCACCGTTCTGTTCAGGCTGGAAGGGTAAATCTGCTTGAATCATTGTAACACATAATCATATTAATGTATCTAATATTGTGATATTTATTTTCTGTAAACACTAATCATTTTTTATGTCATAGCCAGGGAATGTCTGTGCAGATACGTTCCAGAAAAGTTTTTTCGAATATTGCTTTTGCAAACATACAGAAGATGTGATGTGTGAAGTAAATGACTTTTATTGTCCAGCATGTCACCCAGACATGTTGGCAGTGTGTTGTGATGGCAATCAAAAAATGGCAATCGCTTCAAAAAATCAAGGGGGTATGTTCATATTACACAGTCAAACCACAGCATTGTCATAGAAATAGTTGCATGTAGAGTAATGTTTTGTCAGTTAAAAGATATTTTTTTTTGTGCTATCAATTTTATTGGACAGGAATGAGGAACGCTCTCTGTACAAGGGGTTATTTCTTGCAAAAGATGAGGAGGTATCAGCCTTTCTTAACAACATCAGAGGCAGCAGCATGAGAGTATGTCTAATACTGCATATTAAGACAGTATATCTATTGTTTATGTTTGTTTGTTTGTCTTTTCTGTTTTCTATTTGTTAAGATGAGTGATATCTAACTTTACAGGCAGATAACAGTGGAACATGTGGCGTTTCAAGGTTCAGGGCAAGTAAGGAGATGTCAAGAAAATCATCGTCCAAAATAGTTGAAGAGGGCATACAAGTGGCAGTCTGCAGGTATGTGGGTAGATCAGAAGTATGCAATTGTACAGATGCCACTTGTCACACCCTGTGGAAACTCAATTGTGGATAAATGCATCAGAGTCAGGTTCAGAGTCAGGTATTTCCTAATGGGAAGTAAAGTCCTTTCCGTCCTTCAGATGAGATGTTAAACTGAGGTCCTGACTCTGTGGTCATTAAAAATCCCAGGTTGTCCTTCAAAAAGAGTAGGGGTGTAATGCCGACATCCTGGTCAAATTTGCTCCTTGGCCTCTGTCCATCATGGCCTCCCAATCATCCCCATATACTGATTGGCTTCATCACTTTATTTATTTTTAAAATAAATTACTTGATGGGGATGAGTGTTTGCGATTGAGGATTGATGGGGATGAGTGTTTGTGTGCGTGCGTATGTGCAAATGGATTTAAGCTTTGAATAGAGGTTTTTGATTAGCTCTGTTTTCCACAGGTCTCATTGTGTAAACGGATCATTAAAAATATTGTCCTCTTGTGCATCAGACACGGGATATTGCTTCGTGGACTGAACCACTACCGTGGCGAGGTCTTTGCCTACCCAATGTTTTTACAGAAGGAATTGTCAGAGAGGGCCAATGTCACTTTCTTCTGCATGGATGTTGTCTGCAGGTAATTTTTCTCTTTCACATTGAAACTTGGTCAACCTACTGTACATTAAATGGCAAGTGCCTGTTTGTTTTTTTTCAGTCGTTTTATATTGATGGCCAGGCAAAGTATTAGTTAATGCCTACTAATGCTGTGCTTCTTTTTAGGTACTGTGGCCATACCTAAGCAAAGTGACTGAAGAATCATCCGATCTTCAACCACTGATGGAAATGAGGCCATTTCTCAGTGTGATGCATGCCAAAGCTCATACAGCAAAATGCGAGGTACCTCAAATTACTGAAATTTAGATGCAACAGTAGACAGCAGGCAGCTAGTGCTAGAAGTCGTGCAATGATTGTTTTTTATTATTATTTTAAATTGGTATTAGTAGTAATATAATAAGTTGTAAGTCTGTGATTAGTATATATTGTGTAGTATATTATGCAGATAAAATATGACACCTTTAAAGTGAAAAAGATTTGAATGTGCACATAATAAATGACATTATTTAAAGTTATGGTATGAAATTAATCCAACACTGTTGCAGGTGAGATGGGGCGGTATGAATCAGGATGGAGCAGGGAACACTGTTGGAGAGGAAGTTGAGCAAGTATGTTATTACAGACATTATTGTAACTATGTAGATATAGGAGATTTTACTGATACATTTCAGCAGAGTGTGAAGGATAAAGTACATCAGGGTACCAAACAAAGATCTATGCTTGCTCGAATGACCATCAGAGCACGATCTGAACTGTAGTTGCAACACATATTTTGTTGAAATAAAAAAGTGAAGTGAGCAGTGGTGTTTTATGCATGATGCATCACTATTTCAAGCTTTGTTCCCTCTGAGCTTCACTATTTAATTATATACACTCATTTGATCATGTTAGAGGAATTCATTATCTGCAAATTCATTATCTGCATTATCTGATAAGATATTAGTTAAACAATAAGACAAACAATAAAACAGTATGGCTACATGTTCACATATACATACTTTTTTTTTTTATGTTATATAGGAATACATTTATTTCTGTATTGTTTATCTAGGTAAACAGTTTTCTATCCAGGGCAGCTCTTGTCACAAAGTACATGACAAAGGCAGGTTGGTATGACACAATACAAACCATACGCTATGATGAGGTATTTCTGACTTCTAAAATGTAATTTTCATGTTATCCTTGCACTAAAGTAATTTTTGTGTTTGGTCATGTCTAACTGCAATGGTCTTTCTCATGTAAACTGATCCAATCATGCATGCATATTTTTTTGTAATCAGGGAGAGAGAATATGCTTACGCAACAGGCCATGGGGTGGAACAGAAAAAAGACAGAGAACCTTCATAAAGTCTTAGCCTGCAGATACATCAAAGTAAGGACATTTCCCAATGGTCCTTTTGCCTGACACAACATACATTTTAACAACAAACTGCAGAGCTGGCGTCTATCCATCTGTAATAAGCTCATTCATCTATTAATTTATAAACTGTAGGTTATGGAATTTCAATTTGATCTCGGTATTGTCTGAAAGCTTGTATGGTATTTTTTATTTTTGTGTGATTTCAAGATTTCCGAGAAGGTAAAGCTGGAAGTTGCCAGCTTCAGTGATTTCCGCCAGAAGAATGACATCACTGAACAAACAGCACAGCAGTGTGTGTGTGTGATGTTCAGCAGTGGGCAGTCACAGGTAAATCACATCTGTTAATTAGTTTGTTCAAATATTAACTACTTAAGGTGATCAGACATTTTTAAATTAAACAATTTCTGAAATAATTGTGTTTCCTATTAAGAGCCAGGGAGCACAGCAGAACAGGGAGCAACAGAGGATCTCAGGGCTGAGATAGAGAGCATCATAGTGGCTCTGCTACGCAAGAAGCAGGACCTCTATCGTCAGCATGGTTGGTTGACTGATATTCAAATGGCACATTGCAAACAAACAAAAACAGTTTTCCTGATAGTTTTCTTATTTCGCTTTGCAGATAGCAACCAGACAAGACAGATAAAAAGAAGAAAAATAAGAGAATTAAAAAAAAAATGAAACAAAAGATCCAGCTGTACAATGCTATTGCAGAAGATAAAATTGATGAGGAGTTGGGCTCAAATTCGACAGAGGACTACATCCTGCCTTGGGAGAGACGTGAGGATGGTATGGTGGTAGTCCTGTATACCTGTCTGTATACGATATTGCAAAATCTCCCTCTCTCTCTCTCTCCCTCTCTCTCTCTCTCTCTCTCTCTCTCTCCCTCTCTCTCTCTCTCTCTCTCTCTCTCTCTCTCATATGTTTTAGTTTATAACTTAATCATAAATACTAAATCACTTTTTCATATTTCCATCTATTCCCACTACCTAAAGGTCACTCCTTCAGGTTAAAACGGTCTCTTGAGGAGGAGCAGAGCATCCTGGTTAAGGAGATGTCTCAGCACATCACATCTCTCCATAAGGAGATAAAGGGAGTGGAGAAGCTGAAAGAGAACATCAGAATGGGCTGTAAGTCAAATTTGGATTTTTTTTTCCTCACTAACATATGTATAGTCCCTTTTCCATTGAATGGTATTGTTTCCACTCACCTCAACATGACTCTACTTGGTTTGGTTTCAAATTTTTGGTTTAATTTTCTACTGCATAAAAGTACCATTTCATGGAACCGGTTGCTATAGCGATACTGAAGTGAACTATCTTTGCATCACCATTTTGTAAAAGTTTGTAACAGCAATCACTACAGCAGAACAGATAAAATCAACAGTATTCTGAAATCATCGCAATACAGACATGTTTTTGGGGAGCAATATTTACTCTATCGGCTGTCCTGTCTCGCTAACTCTAAGCTGCTGTTGAGGACCTGCTCAGAACGTTAACATGATGCTAGCAATAACAATGACCACAGAGCTATCTGCACATCATTGTTGGAACTTCAACAGAGGTGGAACCAAAAGTGCTTGGTACCAGAGTCAAGTGGATCTGGTACCAGTCAGTGGAAAAGAGCCAGAAGTTTTATTGTTTTCTACATTAGTTGTACGACTCTGCTCCACCCTCACACTTTGTTTAGCCCCCCCCCCCCCCCCAAAAAAAAAAATAAATAAAATGCATTATATTTTGAACAGAAATTAACAATCGCAAAAAAAAAAAAATTGTTTGAGCAAAGAAAAAAAAATGATTCTGTGCTCAATAAATGTATTTGCTATTAGCCATATGCACGTGCAATAATAACCCCTCTCACTCTGTTTACAGGTGCTCTCTCAAACTTATTCTCTGCACTCCTGTCAAGTCCCTCTCTCTCTCTCAACCTCTTAATTCTGTGCGCGCTCAACTCTTGACATGCTCGCTCAACGTGCAAGAGCGTTACAAGTGTGCCACAAAATCAACCAATCGGAAAATTAAAGGTAAATTGTGATTGGCTATTACAGCGCAGTCTCATCCCAAGACGTCATATAACTGATGTCTTGGGACGTCTTTTGACCATACGTCAACATCCGCCTTTTTAGGGTACCCTTAAACATCGGTTAGATGACGTTAACGGA